CCCCCCCGGTCCGACCTCCTCTTCCTCTCGGCTCGCTGAGTATTTTATTTCGTTGCGCATATTTATCTAGTCGCGTTCGGTAAGGTTTCGGGAGTTTAGCAATTAGTTTAAATTCGATCGCGGTACCGGAAGATTGAAAAAAAAAACGACGCAGGGGAATCCCCCGTGCGTCGCTATCGCGAGCATTTTCCTCTCTTTCTCAACCACGCTGGAGGATATAATTGTAGCGATTTAATTTGCTTTTAATGTTCCAGACGGCGCCGTAGTTGAGATCACGATGACTATGGACGTGAGCAAATCCGAGACGAATAAAAATGGTTCGACGCAGCAGGAGTGCGCCGGCTGCGGGAAGACAATTACGGAGAGGTAAACGGCGTATACACGCGTATACACAGTGCACTTGTGTGCAACCGGTGTGTTCTTGAAGAAAACATGTCGTCCGTCTCTCTTGTCCTTTCTTTATTAATAAACGTGCTGTGTCGCTTTTACAGTGAATGTTTTGTCGCGCGAGAGGACGTAGATATCGATCTCCGATCTCTAGAGCGGCACTCTTTCGCTTCGTTTAAGATTATTCAGCCATGCTTTGCGTAAATGTCCATTAAATGTCGAGATAAGAGAGGTATTTTCAAGACTTAACCGCCGGTAAGAACGAAAACTACGGTCGGTCCTTCAGGTATCTCCTCAAGGCCCTGGACCTCTACTGGCACGAGGACTGCCTCAAGTGCGGATGCTGCGACTGTAGGTTAGGCGAGGTCGGCTCCACCCTCTACACCAAAGCTAATCTTATCCTCTGTAAGAGGGACTACCTCAGGCTCTTCGGGAACACGGGATGCTGCGCGGCATGTAATAAGCAAATACCGGCGTTCGAGATGGTCATGAGGGCCAGAACGAACGTCTATCATCTCGACTGTTTCGCCTGCCAGCAGTGCACTCATCGGTGAGTGCGAACGACAGAATTACACCCTTATAACCAGGCCCGACTCTCTCAGCGGGATTCTAGTTTATCGTCTCATTGTGTTAGACCCGGTCTTTCTTTAGCGCGGCTCCCCCTTGTCCACTCTCGTGCCTGAAGCGTGAATTTATGACGGATCTTATTTTGAAAAAGTGTAAGAAGAGACACAGCGTTGCGGGGAAAACAGGCACCCGTGCCGAGGACCATTGCGAGCCGTAACGCGCGGAATTATTTAGAAATCCGCGCGATTCGCTTGTATTAAACGGCGGGTGGAATTTCGGAAATAGAAACGAAACTCGTTTCGGGCTCGTCAATTATTAAAAATTATCGCGCGACGTGAAGACGCGGGACAGTCGGCGGAAGACTCGAATCGGGGTGAATTCGCTACCCCGCGTCCCGCGCCCCTCCGTCCTCCTTTATTTCCCGCCGTTCACTTTCATGGCGATGCATCTTTCCCGTCGCGTGGACACACAGGTGAGGGCGAGGAACGGCCGTGGGGAGGAGGCCGGCAGTCCGCGAGACAGACTCGGCGGGTGGGGCGGGAGGGGTGGGGGTTAACGGGGGTAGGTAGGTTGCTTTACAGGTCAGCTGGGAAATCACCCTGCGCTTTCCGCGCCATGACCTCTCCTTTCTTTCGGCGCTGCCGTTCTGCGGGCCGACTCGGTCGTGAAAACCTCGCGGCACGTTCACGCGCATCCCACGACCTCGGTTCTCCATCTGCCGAAACGCGCGATACGCCACATTCACCTCCTTATTGAATCGTCGCACGTGGAATCATTTTGCCCTGGTTTTTTTTTATAAGCGTTCAATTAACGCGAATTTTATTCTTCGACGGTGTACCTGCTATTTTTAATTAACCCTTTGAAGCATGGTGGTAACCCACGTTACCACCTCAGCTTCTTTACTTTTCGGCCATTTAATTTTTAGTTGACGCATTTAGGTCGAGTTTTTTTGCATTTTTAGGGGTATCTTAGCGATAAAAGAACATTTAAAAAAAGTTGAGTAGTCTTTTATATTTATTGTAAAAGTTTTATAACGAAACAGATATGAAACAACAGCAATTTTTTCGGAAAGATTCATTATTGACCAAGTTTTTTAAGATTATTTCTTGTAAACTTTGTGCAAAGGGGTCGCTCATTACGAATCTGATGTCAGATTTTCAAAAATCAAAATGGCAGAGTATGAATTTTTTAAGTTTTCAAGTTTTTCAGCATTTTCGTTTGATTACGGTATGTAGGGACTCGTCACGTCCGCGTCGTTAGCTCTGGATAGTGCCAAGAATGAATAAATTCTAAGAAATGATCAAATTTAAATTTTGCATCCGTCATTTCGCGCGTGCTATTTTTATATTTTATAAGAATTTTCAACTGAAGTTTAGATTCCATGGCTCCTAATAATATCTAAATAATGTTTGTTAGCATGGTTGAATTACAGTTGAATGATGTTATTCTTTTAAGTTTTGAATTCCGCCATTTTGAAATATGAAAATCTGATAACGCATTCGTAATCAGCGACTCCAGAAACCCCTGTATACAAAGTTTCACAAAAAATGGTGCAATAGAAAAATGTATGCTTCAAACGGTTGAGTTAATTTGAGTAGAATTAATTTGAAAGCTTACAAGCTGAAGGTACCCGAGATATCACTTTCCAGAGGGCAATATTTATCCGCATTTGGTTATTTGTGTGCTTGGCGCTGCGCAGCCTTGAAACTTTATTAATATATTCATTATTGATTATGATCGTGACCTCCCTCAATTCTAAGGCGCAATTTGAGACTTTTTGTAATCAATGAGTCACTACCAACTCGCACGATGAACTCTGATGGGAGAGATTAAGCATAAATCCAAATTTTAATAGGTTTCGAATTTCGCCTTGATAAGTTCCTTCTGTATCCTAATATAAGTTTGTAAGTTCCATAAGTTTCTCGGCGATATAAAGGGCTCGCTTCGGGGCGAGGATAAACGCCCTTCTCTCTTTCCGCGTCCCTCCTTCGTCTCGTCCACTTTGTCTCTCGGGAGAGACCGGGTTGCTCGCGAGCGTCGAGTATTTTCACGTTCGATCGAGATCATTTTCGCAGGGGGGGGGGGAGACACCGACTCCTCCCAAGATCTCGCGTAGGTCGCATTGCTCCACCGTGAGTAACGAGACGGGCAGCGCGGAATCAATCGAGGCGGGGGCGATCAATCGTAGAGGATTGATCTGTCAAACTCGCGCGTTATCAGCCGCCACTCTTTCCCCCGGTCATTTTAATTATCTCCGGGCCACGGTACGACGTTTAAACAATATGTAGCAGCGACGAGGCGGCGGAGACCTGTCGGGATTCAATGGCGGAAAGCGTACAAACGAGTGCACAAAAGCCGGCGATACAATGCTGGCTTACGGACGAAGTGACTCGTTTTGGGGGGAGTAACAACGACAAGTAGAAAGCAGATCGAGCGGAGTGGGGGAGGGAGACAAGAGAGAGAGAGAGAGAGAGAGGGAGAGAGAGAATCTGTAGCCGCTCTGTCGCTAGAGAAAGGCGACAGAAAAAGAGAGATCGACAGAGGGGGGGCAGGGGGATATGATAGAGGAGCCGGAGGTGGAGGATGTAGTTTGAAGCCAATAGCAATGGTTCGTCCAGGCGTGTGGCGAACGTTGCGCAGCGTCTCAAACAATGTGAACAAAAGAGCATCAATTTTACGTTTTTATCGTCCGGCATTGTCTATCTTCGACAATGCCCCCGCTCGCGCGCGACTCGCGGCGAAACCGGCCGTGGGGGGTAAGGGGTGGGCGGCGCGCACGTCAGGATCAAAAACGAATCCGGAGGGGGAGGACGGGCCGCGCGTCGGGGGTCCTTTGGAAAGAATCGCGGACGCGTGACGTTTGTTGCGAGCGCGAGCCGGCGAGAACCGGCCTCGGCGGGGCCGACGGGGGATCGCGAAGAAGTAAATTGAGACGGCCGCACTCAGCCCGGTCATTATATTTGTTGTAACAATCGCGTTGCGTGTCGCGGATGATGTACGAGCGCAATTAAAACGCGCGCTCGCGCGCGCGGCCGCGATAAAATATGCCTGATGCGGAATATTCGGTGCGACCCCTGCGCGCCTGCGATCGTGCCGCTAAAAAGCAAGGCAGGTAGGTAAATTTGAAGAGGGCAATTACTCGCAGCGCTGCGCGTCCTGTAACGAGACGACTTAGAGTTTGCAATTAAACAGCAACAATTACACGGGGTAACTTTAGACTGTAATAACACAGAATAAAGGGTTGCCAGTGGCTGCGACTAGGCTCTCACCCTCCTGGTTAGAGGATGATTTACCGATGCAATTAGCTCTCTCTCTCTCTCTCTTCTCCCCTTTCTCTCTCACCCTCGATGCACACGAATGCACGCACACACGTATACGTAGCGCAAGCGTCGTGTATTCGCCCCTCCTCCCCCCGATTTCTTTGCTTCCGTCGAATCCGGTCAAACATAATGACTACTCGATTAAACTTTCGCCCCTGCGACTTGGATTTGATATCTCGTCGGGACGAGACTCGCTCTCGGCGAAATTACAAACGATATGGAAGCTCTCCTTCCTGGATAATTACTATTTGTAATCGATTCCGCGGCGCAATTTTTGTATTTCTCTGCTACTTTTGGAAATAATAACAATTAGTCGTTTCCACGGTGCAATTATAGCGCGCACTATTACACGTGATAGCTCGTGCTTTTTCATTATATTCGATAAGATCGCGGGGCGGTTATCTGTTTTCGAAGCGACGTCCGGATTGCGCTCGCGTGTGCGCGCCCTTTTGGCCCGAGCCGCAATTTCCGCGATTCACGCCGCGGTGCGTCGAATAAAGATTTTATCTGAGAAACCGGCGAGACGCGCACGGCGAGGCCGTTGAAACTTTGATGCGCCGAAGCTCGCGCGCAGAGGACGGTATTACTCTTTGAAGGCTACGGGCCCGCGTCGTCGGAACGACCCGTAAAGTGCCTCTCTAACGGGGTCACGCATCGCCACCGGTGGGGTATCATTTATTGAATCGCAGTGTCTCCTTTCCACCCTCGCGCCTCTCCGTCGCATCGACCGAAGACGTTGTCTTGGCGCGCTGCGCGCCTCTCCTCGTGTCGGCGCCTCGCTCGATTTCTCCTCCTCCTCCCCCCCCCCTCCGGTTGTCCTGCAGCCGGGTTACCCTCGTTAAAGATTCAACCGAGTTATCTGTACGCCGTCCAGATTGAAATTTTCCATGCAGACCCAGGAGTCCTCTCGCGCGCGACTCTCGCCTCTCCGTGTCGTCGCGAACGATCCACCGATTCGACGTTCCTCAGATGCCTCCTCCCCCCCCCCCCGCGCACGTTTGAGATCGATTTAAGTCTGTTTCAATTATCGTGATCGGAGAAGTGATCCTTTCCTCCGTGAAATTTTGCGAAACGAACCTCGTAAATACGGATTCTTGGTGGACGCACACACAGGGGTGAATGCCCTAGCAAGGCCAAATAACACCCACTAATGCCCAAAAGATGCCTAGTAATGCCCGAAACACCATAATGCCCTCGGCGGTTTACCCCTCGGGCACACTGCGCGCGGTAGCTGCCGACCAATGATCTCTTCCCTAGACTTTAAAAGAATGAAAAAATCGCAACGCGTCGCGGGCTCCCGGGTGCCGTGAAACGTGTCAAAACGGCCGTAAACAACGTGATGCATCCCGCGATGCGCACAGGGGAGGACGAGATACGCGTGCGACGAGGAACGGCGGGAAGGGCGGCTGGCGAGCACGTAATAAAAAGAAAATTGAATGGAAACACTTACGGAATTGCGCCAATTACGTAGGTGCGGGCGTGCTAGATGCGCTCGTGCTGTAATAAAGCGTTTCGCACACGGCGGCGGCGGCGGTGGCGAATTTGTTCTCGTTGCGATGAACGCAGGGCGAGAGATAAATCAAGTTTTAAACGTTTATGACTTGGCTCGCGCGAGCATTACGCGATGAGCTTCGATACGATGGAAATTAAAACTTTGTAAAAAGGGCCTTTGTCCGGCCGCGATTTTAATATTTCGCCCGCGACGGCCGTGAATAAAAATATCCCCGTTCTCGGTGCGGACGCCTCGCGTTTTGTTTCCGCGTCGCTGCAATTTCTAAGCCTAATCCTCCACGTCATATAGTTTCTGCTACGTTCTCTTCCCGTGACTAGATAAACGTCGAGAGATATTGGAAGATATTTCCGTAGTTCTTAAATTTACTGTGTTCTCGCTTTCTAATTACTAATTAATCAAAAAATTTCCGACACTATCAGTTTTAAAGTAGGAGTAAATTTGTACTTGCAGTTCGACCTCTTTTACTGTCTTAGGTCCTACTATACATATAATAGAATTAAAGGTTCAACATAGGGCGAAAATTTCGACTCGGGCCGTCTTCCTCCGTTCCTCGTCGCGCCTATTTCGAGCCGGCCGCGACGTATCGTACGTCGTGTAAAAATGCCCCAGGGAGCGGGGTGACGGGGGCTAGGTGGAAAATTACGGGGCGGCGTACGCGCTGATATCGTTCCGCGGCAGACATTTGCGCCGTTTTCGCGAGAAAGGATCGGGCTTTGCGCGGCATTATTCGCGCGCGCATAATGGAAGGCCCCGGGAATGACTGCGCTTGTGCAACGCGATAATTCCATTGCCCGCGCAATTACGACACAGTATCTGCCTCTAGCCAGACGGCCGAAAAAGGCATTCCCGAAGCGTTGCAAGGATTATTTTCGTTTAAAACCGTCGAGAGTACCGCCCGATTTTCGCATTAATTCTTCTCTTTTTTTTTCTTCCCGCGTCTCGCCTTCCCGCCCCGAGACTAATGGGAAATGACTAATGGTGAAATACAAATATCGCTCCCGTCGATTATATCGCCGACGTGTGACGATGAAACGCAGTAGGAATATCGATTACGATAACGACAAGCATTATTTCGATTAATTCGCTCAATTTGCGTTGGCGCCGGCTTTGCTCGTCCTTTTATTTCCGACGTGTCGTAATTTGATAGGCAAAACATTATTATCCGTTATAGTTAATCCCCGCAAGAAACAAAGCTCTCGATTCCCCGTTCATCGCTACTGCCGTTTGACGAAACGAATAACGTTCAAAAATAGATCGAGGGGAAAACCGCTGACCAAAATCTTGTACACCAATGCCCACTACTGCCCAGTGGGCATTACTTTATCTTATTATCTTATTTATCTTGTTTTATCTTATTTTATCTTTATAATGCTCCAGCAAGACCTAATGCAAAAAAAAATGCCTAGTAACGCCCAGTAATGCCGCAAATCTGTACACCACAATACCCTCAGCGGTTTTTCCCTCGAAAAAGTCCGTACATTTCTCGAAGAAAAAAAAACTCGCGCTCGAAGAAAATAAACACTCATCGCGAAATCTTTTTCTTTCGTATCTTTTCTACTCAAACAGCAACGAATGTTTTTTTGCAGTCAATAGAAAATAATTAAGCAAATCCGGATTAAAAGATTAGAAGAGCGAGCCGTGGCTGCGTCGAGAAATCGAGGAGGAGAGAGAGAGAGAGAGAGAGGGAGAGAGAGGGGGGGGGGTCGCGTGGGAGGGTGGGCGAGAGGAACGACGGGTGGAAAGCGAGAGGGATAGGTATCCGATTGGAGTGTGGCGTCATTTAGCAGACGACGCGTATAATGGGGGAAACGAGCGAAACCCGGTATAACCCGCGCGCGCTCGCTGCCACAGCACGGCACGGCCATGCCACGCGCGCGGCAACGCGATAATTCTATTTGCCGTGCGATTATGAGAGTATCTACCCCGAGCCAGACCCGGCGCGGCGCCGCGCCGCCACCGCGCCGTGCCGTGCCGCCGCGCTCTCGTATTTCGCTCTCGTATTTCCTCGCCGGGATCAAAGCGGATGCGAGGCCGCTCTCTCGCGGACAGAGAGGCGGCCCCGGTAATAATTATTTGTTCGATACGTTACGATCTGCTCGTTATCCAGCGGAACTCCTTTCTCGCGCTCCCTCCCTCCCCCGTCTCCTCTGCCCGCTTTTTCTTCCGTTTCCCTCCCTCGCGATCGGATTCGGAGTAACGAGCGGGGTCGATCGGGGGCGCAAGATCGGGTCTCATTTGTTAATCGCGTTCTCCTCGAGTACCTCTCCCTTCTTTGAGTCCCTTTCCGGTGCGACGAACCGGCTAGGTCTCGCGGCTAACGACCGGCGAGCAATTGGCGTGCGCGTTCTTTTACATTTCCAGTGTCGTTACCGATTAGCCGCCTCCTCCGCGGACGTCGTCGATCGGGGCGCGATTATCGGTGCAAGAATGCGAGATGTCGGGCGAATCGGCGCGGGCTGCACGACCGACATAGCGTGTTTCCTCTTTCTACTTGCAGGTTCTGCGTGGGCGATCGGTTTTACTTGTGCGAGAACAAGATTCTCTGCGAGTACGACTACGAGGAGAGGCTAGCGTTCGCCAATATGGCGTTGCAGTCGCCCGCCTCATTAGCATACATCAAAAGGCAACTCCCTCCTACACCAACGCCGCCGGGCCAGAACATACACCCGGGGCACAATCCGCTCCAAGCTCATCAGGGTCTGGGGCAGTCGGTGGCTCAGCACAATCACGTGCCCAACGTAAGTGCTAACGAACTGCCTGAACGAGCCTGCTCGATTGAGAGAACTCGGCGACGAATCCGCGACGCGGGCGTAAATAAAAATATAACTTAAATATTGTTCATATATTTCACATACATTTCTAATCTATTTTTGACACGTATAATATTATTTACGATTTTTTAAATAGAATTTTTATATACCAAAAGTATGAAATATATTACCATATATTTTCACTTACTTTTGGAAATATATACTTTTCCGTGGGGGCACCCTATATTTTACAGATAAATAGTAGCACAGCAGCGATCTGGGCACATGTTTGGTACAAATCATAAGTCCTTTAAATAGCGATATATATTCTAAAATTCTACAAATTATAGAATGGCCCGCCCAGTCGCCAGTGCTGTAGATTTTCTCGTATAATTTGTAGCGATTGAGGCACGCGACGAGCGCTGCCGCAACGTGGGAGTGTGGCGCCTCACGTCTCGCGAACTTTTTATGACTTCAGGGTCAAATGCCAGGCGGCACGCCGACGATGAATGGGACGACCATAGGGGTCGGCGGGCCGAGGGCGCCGGGTGATATGAACAACAACGGCCTCTCCGGGCCCGCCCTCGGGCCCGTCAAGCCACCCCCGATGTCCATGCAGGCGCCAACCAGCTGAAACGAGGCCTCGCCGCCTCTGAAGAAGCTCAGGTGTCTCAGCGGTTACTAAAGCCGACGGGAGTTCTCTTCGCTCGCGGAATGTAATCGTGGATTCCGGGGGCCGCGGGGGAGAGGGAGCAAGGTATACGTTGCACCGCCGAGAATGACGAGACGAACGGAAAAAGAGGGAAGACGATAGAGGGAAACGGGCGAGACGTAGACGGGGTGGGTGGACAGGGAGGACCCGAGGCGTCAAACGCGCGAAGAAAGAGCTGGAAGTGGGAGCCCGAGGCCTCGAGGACAAAGTGACGAGGTCCGGAGTTTGGAATCACTGTGATCGTGGGAAATGGACACAAATTTAATGGAGGATAATGTTAATACAGTGGTAGGACACGCGCGTCGCGCGAGCTGGAGCCCGGCACACCGTATTTACCGCAGGCATACAGGTACATACAGTTACATTAATACACAGGCGCGCACACACACATACACACGCACACACCTCCTGGGTAACGCAAACGTTTACACGACGTCGTAAAACTCTCCGGACGTCTCTCTCAGACTTTTGCGCCGTTTGCCGATGCGTGTACGCGTCTTGTAAGATACGACACCCGACACACATAAGAATAAATTAGATAATTCGTGTAAGATATATTTCTCTAGCGAGATGGGAGCGAGTGTGGTTGCAGCGCGAGTGCGAAAATTACGTGCGCGTGTGCTTGTGCGTGCGTGCGAGCGGCGGAGTCGCCTTGTAAATATATCTGTGTCGTGTTCGACTCCGCGGGAGTGAGAGAGAGGAACGAAGACAAGTAGCAGTATACGCACGCCCGCCGGGATGACTCTTGTCCCGCTCGTGATACCGCCGCGTCGTCCGCGCGCGAGGACGTGGAGGAGCGCCGGATTCGAAAACAGAGGAACCTTAGCGAGAGCGGAGGGGACGCGAGGGGTTCTGTAACACGTGCCATAGTCCCGCGATCCCCGCCGGTTTTACGCCCGGCAGCGAGAGTGGCCAGCCGCGACAGGGGGGAGAAAGCGAGACGACACGACAGTCATCTTGCATTTCGGAACTGGAGAGTCGGAGGAGCACGCGATCACCTCCCCGACTCTCCTCGGGGAAACTCGTCTCGAAAATGAATGTCCTATAAACATAAAACCTGTATAAGGAGACCGAACTAGGCTTGATTACGTCACCAAATATGGGCCGACATTATTGCAAGTTATTGAAGCCTATCACACAATGCCAGGCAATAGGAATAGGGAATAGAATTTTTGACGCGTTAGATTCTAGAAGGAACTAGAATATTTATAGTTTCAACCTGTGAATTCACTTGAAAAGATTTCGTAAAGGTTATCAAGTAAAAGTCTCCGGAGAGAAAGGTTTCAGAACGTCCTCGGAAACATAATCTTGAAGTAATTACGATTCTAATAGTTGAAATGTTGTTTTTCGTGGATTACACAGTACACAATAAATGTTGTTATTGTATATCAAAAATCTATGTTTATCCCGCATCTCCCGTACTCTGTCATTAATATGACCACAAAAGCTTCATGCATATGACAACCATGTGACATGCACGAATGCAAATCGAGTTGTCCGTTGGCAGCGTTTCCAGTAATTCTTTTCGGAACGAATAAGTCTCAAAAATGTTGGCCCACTCTGATTACTGGAGTTCGGTCTCCTTATACAGGCTTCATGATCCTAAAGGCCGAATCGAACTAGCGATTGTCTTCTAGCCAATGAGAGCTGTACGTGCAAAGCAGCCAGCGATTTAATCGACTCTCATTGGCCAGAGGACAATCGTCAATCGCCAATCCCAATCCAATCCGAGTCGGCGATCGCTAGTCCGATTCGGCCTTAAGGCTGGTATTACATTCGTCGTACGACAAATTTTTCGAGCGTGCTGATTGGCTGCAGGACAGAAAAGTTGTCGGGTACCTAGAACTTTTCTAGCTTGTAGCCAATCAACAAGCCTCAATGATTCATCGTACGACAAATGTAATAGTACCCTAAATCTCCCGTCGCCTCATCCAGCTTCAACAATAGCAAACCGGTGGAATTTGTTCTTCGTGGCCCTTCTAGTCTCGTGAAATTTCTGTTATGTGTTACGTCGCGAGTCGGATGCGCGATCGGCTCACGCGACAGCCGATACCAAAGATTAATTAAAGACCTTAGGTTAAGAACCCCTCGGGACGAGCGCCGCGTAAAGATTCAGTTTTTTTTTTCCTTAGACAGCCCGACGCGTCACGGCGAACATTATTTTTCGTTGAAGCTTCGCGCCGTCTGCGGAGTCACCGCGACGGCGAACAGCAGCGGCGGATTATCGCTCACGCCTCTGAGACTTACGGGGCGATATTTCGCAAAACGGTAAAGCACACATTACTCTCGGCACACTTGACCGATCGTTCGTCATCGACAATACTGTCCCTCGGTCCTTACGTGACTTGGAATTATCGTTGGCGATCGCGGAATAGTGGGACCCAAAGTGGTCTGCGCGCTCGGGGCTTTTAAGTATTTCATAATCCGCCACTGTCCGAGAGTCGCGAGCTCCCAGCGGAGCCAGAGCGAGGGGCTTAGTCACTTAGCTTTAACGCTTTAATGCCAAAAATACAGGCGGCGCTTATCTATACCAAAACGCCAAACGGCATACATTCGTAATCGTACAGGAGGCAGGAAAGGAGACCGGCGGAAAACGCTCTCTGCCGCGTTTGCCGCCGCGGCATTATTAACTGCGAGCTCGTAACGCTATTAACTGTGAGCAATTTCCCGCGACGCCGGAAATGCCCGGTCCGTCTCGTTCTCGCGTTACATCCGGGCTTTCTCTCGTTCGCGGCCGGTTGCGCTCGAAAATAACCGTAATACGCGCCACTCGTCTCGTTCTGTGCCACAGTTGGCGCAGCACTTTTTATCTCGTAGACATTACTGTGAATCGGTGATCCGTGTTGGAAACCTTTTCCCGCTGTACAGGATTGAACGTTATCGCCGCAATTGTTTAACAAAAAAGGACAATTCAAATTCGGACCTAAACGATAGTCGCTTAGCCGCGAGGTGAGTACGAGAGAGAGGGCGCGTGGCGGGAAATTAGCTCACACCGAAAACACTTGTAAATTATCGAGGAACAACGGATCGAACCCGACGACTGTCGCACCGCGCTAGTACAAAGGTCCTGCGACACGGCGGAGGGAAACAGGTCGGACGACAGAGGCAAGCACAGTACGGGGCGCGAAGGACAGGACATTGTCTCCCCGCGTAGGACAGAGAAGAGAGGGGACGACACTTTCCCATTTTTTATTCATCTGTATATAATATCACTTACCTAGGGCTCTATTAATAATATTATCGACCGCCTATCCCCTCGCGAGGGGAGGGGAGGGGGCAGCTCCCATTACTACCGAGAAAATATAACATTCTTATAAATACAACCTGGTGTATTCCAAGAGTGTTTTTCATTTCCAGCTTCCGAGAAGATCCGCGCGACAGCGACCCCCGGGCAGATTCGCGTCCGGGAACGTCGCCTCTTCACCTTCGCCATCACATTCTCCTCAGCACCCCTCCTTCCGCTCCCCACCCAACGATCTTTCTTTTTTGCCGCGCCACGAGGAAGCGAAATTGAGGTAAGTCCCGGCGCGTGGAAGTTCACCGGATCCGATCGGGGGCCCCGTTCGGTGCGTGATACGCGCCACGCCGAAGGGGGCGAAGGGGGTTGAGAGACGCGGTAGCCGGCTCTCTCGCGTGGCGTCGAGCTAATACGGGAAGGGTGGAAACGCGATTTCCCTAATGCCCGCCAGCCCGCGGAACCGAATGTTATTATGCGCGGTGAAGACTTTATAATGGGACGCGGAACTCCTGAAAACTCGTGCGGATACGCGCCTTCGAAAACGCCGGGCGGCCTCCGTTTACGGCCGCGCGGAGGCGGAGCCCATAACTGAAAACTTATGCCGCCGCGATTGCGTCACGAGGTCGTTTCGCTCGATGGGCTGTTTCGTTTTTAGAATTGCGCACCGGGTGATCCGCAATCGGGCGCGTCACGCCGTCACATCCGTCGTTCGCGGTGAAAAAAACTCTGTCGCTCGGTCTAGTGAAATGCATTGTAATTAATGGCGCGGTCAAGGCTTATGACAACGCAACCATCACAAAGTCGCTTTGTTTGATGGATTTTGCTAGTTTCACGATGAGAGAGAGAGAGAGAGAGAGAGAGAGAGAGAGAGAGAGAGAGAGAGAGAAGGAGCGCATTTGTGTGTATGCGTGTAATTACATCGAGCACGTAACGCTATTGATTTTTCCAGTTGAAAATCACACTTTCGGGTTAATAAACTTCACGTCGTAATAAATTACGCGATGCAGTTTGAAGATAGGAGCCTAGGAGACCCAGTTGACTTTAATTAATTTTTCTGGGAACGGCCCAGAAGCCTGTTTTAATTCGTACGCCACGGCTATTCATCGGCGAAGATGCTATCAAAAATAATATCCACCTTTAATGCGTTCGGGCCGGAAGGGGTTAACAATCTCGGCTCGCTTCCGGTGCGTGCTCGGGCGAATTAATCCGACGTCGCGCGAGTAGCCGCGACTCGTCATCTCGACCCTCGAACTACCACCACCGACGGCCACCACCACCACCAACGTCAGCGTCCACGTCCAGAGTCGCATTAATCACGTCGAAGGCAGACGGAGGTGGCGGCGACGCGTGCGGAGGGCCAAGGGCGGTGCGAGGAACGAAAGGGAGAACGGAACCCCTTAAAATAATCTGCCCCGAAATGAAATCAGCCAAGGCAATTTCCAACCCACCCCCCCTCCCTCCGCCCCCCTCCTCGTATCCGACCGGTGATGTTAACAGCGGTGGCGGTTTCATCCGCCCGGACGGCGCTCCCGTCCTCCCCCTTTCCGCCCCCCTCGTCCATCCCCGACTCCGTACGTGGTGCAACCGACAAATGACGACGCGGCGGCAACCCCCTCGCGGCGACTCACGGAATTAAAGATCACGAGATAAGGGTGTCATCCTTCGCTATGCATTATGTGTTCGGCAAAAAGCTCGCCCCCGGGCCACCCTGCCGTCCCGCTGTCCCGCCGTCCCGCCGTCTTTGCCCCTCTGCGCCCTCTCTCTTTTCGCTGCCTCTCCTCCTCCTCCTAGCGCGCGTTTGTTTCGGGCGCGCGAGAGAGAGTAAGAAGAAAGGAGGATGAAAGACTCCAATTAATCTACTTCGTCCATTTTTTGCCTGTTCAAGGCATCTCCGCCGGCGTTCCTCCCGTATCGACATTCTAGAAACGCCCGGTCCTTTCGAGCGCGATGTACATATAATGGAGAGGAACGTCGAGTGTCTCGCGAGTCTGTGAAGATTTTCTCGGGAACGCGATTGTGCAACGGGATGTACGCGAGGATGCACCTCGGTTATGATCCGCACATCCTCTCTCGGTCCGGACGAACGAGAGCCGCGGCCGATTGTCGTATTTCAGGTTTTATCGCCTTGAAAACATTAAGGGGTTGACATCGAACATTGACTAACTCCGAATTCATCGAATCGAAGCCCGAAGGCGCATTGTCGAAGAGTGGCGCGATAATTGCGAAACTGAATATCCCGAGGTTTATTAGGTGTAAACAATAAAATACGGTATAAGATCGAAAGAAAAAGGAAGGCAGTAAGAACCGACGCAGGGTGTTAGATGCGGAATACAAAAGTTTAATGTATAAAACATTCATAGTGGTCAAACGTTTCGATCGACTAATACGATCCTTTTCAATGACATAAAACAAATAATTACTTAAATCGCAACGTTAATAATTAATATAAATATAAATTAAGAGCGGAAGCTCTTGAGTTATACAAATTGCAACAAAACGAACGTCGCTTCAAATGACAAATAACGATCTCGTTCGGTGGTGGATGTCGAGAGGCTTAAAAAAAACTGACATTCAGGGACGAAAGGTTTAAATTCAAGTTGCAACCAGCGGTTCTTCGGCGATTGCGCGTCAAGACTAGAAAGTAAGTAAACATAGAATAAAGAATTATCTACTTTTCGCCAACGTAAAACAGAATCTTTATAAAATATCCTCTTGTCTCGATTCCATGTGGTAATAAAAAAAAATTAACAATTTCATTCGTGACGAACGTTCACGGGCGGATCGAGGGCGGCGATCACAGGGAGCGAGGGGGATCGCTTAATACTGTCGGCGAAAATCGAGTTTCAGGAGCCCCGTGCTCTGAAACATCCTGAAACAATCACACGGTCTGGTCGTTAGTACGTAAGGCCGCGTACACAGGCGGAGCCTTCGGCTCGGACGCGGGGGAGTCGACGCCGTAGGGCCGCGCGCGTTATGTATAGGGTGTACCGAAGGAAATAACCGTCATCTGTATTCGCGATAACATCGTAATTGAATGCGGTTGACGGGGATTTGCAGCGTACGACGGCCGACCGCCGACGGCCCCCGCAAACGGTTCCCCTTCTCACCGCGCTCTTGCAGTTCTTCCCCGTCCCACCCTGCGCGTCCCGCGATGATCCTTCTCTTCCCCTCCCCTCTTCGCCCCCTGTCCCTTAGTTTGCACCGACATTTTTTTTTTATTCTCGCCTCATCTCTTATCCTCGGAGATGAATTTAGGGGATGTTATGGTGCGGAATTGGATGCTGTACGACTGCGAAAATACAGGAATGGTGGAAGAATTTTCTGACGTACAATTTAACAAAAATTGTCGCATCTTATAAGTAATAATTGTTTTAATTTTGATATAAATTAACGTCGATCCACCCTCCTCCCATCTTCTATATCCCTCACAGCTAATCTTTCATCGCGATCTCCTCTGTTCTCCCGTTGTTTACTTTTTCTACCCCGCTTTCTGGGCCGACTTTCTCATTCGCGTCCCACCGTTTCCTACCTCCCTCCCTTCACTCCCTCCGTCGTTCACTTTTTATCTCCCGAGAGTGAAGCATTAATCATATCAAGGCACGGGAAATTTACTTCGATATTTAGGGTGTGTCATGGTATTGTCACGTGTGTATACACGCGTGCGTGGGCGCGCGGGAAAATTCGGGGATGCCGAGTGAGTGGCGGTGAATAGCGATACGACGATAGCGTGGAGAGGAGAAGAACGCGGCTGAGTTTATGAGGGAAATTTCGGAAAGGAGATTCCGGGCTATTCCGGCCGTCATTTTCTCGCCCAGAAGAGCCTGTGACCTTTTCTCGAAGGACCGCGAGTGGCACGAGGCGACAACTGTGTCTTGCGACATGGATTCGGGTCGATACGGTCTGCGGTATTCTAATTGTGTCGCGACACATCTAAATTTATTCCCTTCGACACAGACGGCGTCGAAATCATGAGCGCACGTTCCAATTGTTTATAAAACGATAATTCACTATTTTATTATTCTACGCAACCGGCAACGTAAAGCGAAGCATAGTACTTTATTATTAAGAAGACACGTTACGGATCTAAAACTACGCGACAGCGAGGGCCCACGGCGGCAACAGAAGAAAGATAAGGCTTCGCGCGCGTTTTTGGGTGCGTGCGCGCGCGTGTGCGTGTATGTGTGGTTAAATAATAGACTTCGTCATCCCATTGTATCCCTATAAATTTCAATTCTATATTTCAAACCATTCGAAAATTATTTAGGTGGCCCGAAACTTTCGGCAGCCACTGTATAATATTTAACATAATTTTAATTTGCCCATTCACGCAAATATATAAGGAATGTTAAAAGGAAAAAGTACTTCCATGATGTTTTCGATAAGGAAGCATTGCTCTTAACGCAGTTACAGAAATTGCGATTAGAAAAATACTACGAGGGCAATCGTGTGGTGGTTGAACGATGCTGCACAATATAGATGTGTTTTCGAACGCCGTTTCTCGATCCGGCCTCGAGCAGTCGGCACTTGGCCCGGTTAATCCCGCCGCGAGACCGGAAAAAGAACGGGCCGCGAACATCGCCGCTAATCAACGTAGAAGAGGTCGTTTTGCGATCCGGGATAGCGGTCCTTGCATGCGGAATGCGCTGATGGGAAATACTTGTTACGTCGTGGCTACTGTCACGGTCGCTGATTGGCGCATGACCGCTGGATTTCGCGCTTTATTAATGGCCGTCCGTCGTCGTCCTTCTCCCTCGCGCTCCCTTATCCCAGACACGGGAGATCTCCGATCTGGCTTTACCTCCCTCCCCCCCCCCTCTTCCTGCCCCCGTCGCCCTTTTGGTATCGGCTGTCCTCCGCTTCCGCGTCGCATCGCGCCGAGGCGCGGCGCGGCGACGTCCGACACCTGCACCGCCAAATTATTTACGGAACCCTCGTTTTTCGCGCCCTGATTTTCGGTCCACCTCGACTCGTGACGCAGATCGCGAGCCGAGATTTTATTTCGGGAGCGCATCGCGAAGATCGATCGCGACCGCGCGGCGCTCCGGTAACTTCGCGATTTAACGTTTGCTCAACTCTCTCGGGGTGGGGAAAAATAATAAA